AAATTTAGCAAAGTCTCATTTAGCAAATTAGTGACTATAAAAAGTCAATTTTAAGAACAAAAAAGGAAAAAAAATTGTTAGATTTGTGTTAGATTTTTGTTTTTGTTTCAGAATCAGAAAAAAAACTTGTTACTCAACTAATTTGTGCCTCATTGTAAAAAAAGAACGTTTTTTAAATATTAAATGAACAACCACAATTAATTACATGTTATATAAGTATTAATTAGCTCCTCAACCATAAAATCACAAAACTTGTGTCTCCATCTATTGCCAATTTACATATCCCCCAAAACATGATAATAACCTCATTAAACATGGGTCAACACAGCTACGTCCACAAAAAAATGATCAATTTCTGACTAAAGCTTTTATTTTTGTAAGAATTATAGTGAAAACCTGCCATTTAGCGAGATCATTTAAGGACTTTCACCTGAGAGTTTAGAGTAGTTACATAAAAACAACTCTTTTTTTAATTACTATTTGTTAAAGTAAATTAAAACTGAAGCTGATTTCAGAAATACGCTGTAAAAAGGGTTTTTGAAATATGTAAAATGTCTGTTAAAATAAAATATTATACTAGTATTTCTAGTATTTCTATCAATTTAAAATGGCTAACCATTTTAAATTGATAGAAATATATAATACTAGTATAATATTTACCTAACTGAGTAAATCTGCTAACAAAAAAAGGGTGTTTAGCTTAAATGCAAAAAAAAATTTTAAATTTTTTTAGGAGGGTTTAAAATATTAAATGTAGTTAAATTTTAACACCTAAATGTAGTTCTTTTTTAAAGCTTAAAGTAAAACTTCTAAAAAAATTGTGAGAATAACTTGTTACACTAAGTTTTTTGGTTAAAGTTAGAAAAAAATGTTTTTTAGTGTACTCATAATTGCATGTGATGTTTTTGCTTCACACATAAACCCTCTAGAGACACTTCAACAAATGATGGCAAATGTTTATATTTATATTAATATACTGTATATAGCAGCAGCAGCACTGATAACCTCGTCAGGAAGGTGTTCTTCGTGTGCTTACAGTAAATACTGTCTCCATCTGTCAGATTCTCCCACACTGTGAGCCCCCTACGGATGGCTTCAACCCATAAAATATTAATGCTGGGATTCAATTCAACATTCCATTTTAATCTTCTTAACAATTAGGGATTTGCGGCACACACACACAATTAGCTTTGTTACACACGGTCTCGTTGGTCTCGACTCCTGAGGGATAATTAGGAAGCAGAGATTTTAAAGTGACCAACAGATGCGAGTTCAGAGCGACACGTCTGGGATTTCTGATGTAAACATCACTTGTAGCTGTTTTATGAGTATTACACCCTTACCATTTCTGCATTTGGGGGGGGAACGCTTCAGCAGATTTTTCACAGTTCAGCGCATCCTCAGTGGGTGTGAAAGCACGTCCAGATCCCCAACCTGGTCTGACCCTGGATCCTGCCTGGACAAAGAAAGACTCTCACTGTCCTACTGAGACGAACCCACCTGTTCACACAAATAACTGCCAGCAAAACACAAATATGCCGGGATGGTTACAGACCAGTGACAGATTTAATTGATTTTGATCCTTCACTTAATCTGATGAGACGTTTTAAAGATGATCCATGCAAACTATGAAATCAAAATAAGAAAGGGTTAACCTGGTGCCGTTTGATGGAATTCACTCCAGGAGTTCTTCAGATATACTGATAAGTAATTCTGAAATGCAGACATGCACTCAATGTAAACAATGCACTTTTAGCTACATTCTTTACTCATCTAAAATCTGCATACTAACACATCCAAATTCTTCTTATTTCCCAATGGCTCTTCTTTGGATGTCTGACTGCATTGGTGACATATTTTCATTTTGTTTCCATGTGTAAAGAAACAACTTAGTAGTTTCCACAAATTTAGCTTCCATTTTTTACTCAAAGACCCCATAACTTCCAACATGAGGAAAAAACAGTGCGGTTTTGTTTCTTACTTTATGTTTGTATATATATATATATTTATATATATATATATATATATAAGCTGAAGCAGGTAGACTAGTACATCCTAACTTTTTTAACATTACCATTTTTATATGACAATATAGCCAATTTGGCCTTTAGAAAAACGTTTTTTGAGGGTCTCACCACCTCCCAATAAATGTCATTTTGGGAAGTCTAGCCACTCATTTTTACTCAGTACTTTTATTTTTAATACTTAATACATTTTTATGTCAAAAATTTACTTTTGATACTTAAGTACAAAATATATTAGATACTTTTAATACTCAAGTAATATTCTTAGAGGAGACGAACTTTTACCAAAGTAATTTTATGACAAGATACTTGTAGTTTTACTCAAGTATCACTTTGAGGTACTTTATAAAAACTGGCAATAACTACCTTTTAGGTTTAAACAGCTTTTATTCTTTGTTTGGAAAGATTTGAGGAAAAAGCATCAGAAATCTTGAGCTAGGCATTTAAGTTTTTAAGACTTTTTTGTTTGTTTCTTTTGCTTAAAAATACTAAACCAACAATCAGCTCTTTACGGTGGTAAGAAAAGCTTAACTACAATGATGCAACTCCTCTCAGTGCTTAGGAAAACAGTTACTCGTTGCCATTGTTTCAAGCTAATAGCTATAACTTTATTTTATTTAGAATTTGGATTAAATGCTCTGGCAGGTTTCGCTCGTTCAGAGTTATATTTACCCTCGAAATCCTTTTTATTCTCTTCAAGCGAAAATCTTCAGAAAGTTTTCCTCCAAAAACCGTCTCACAGCTGTAAACACTACAATTCCCGTTACGGCGCTGAAGCACACGAAGCGGCCATGATATGAGTCCCCTGCGTCGCGCTGGTCTCTTCTGCATAGGCGCCAAAACACTACATTACCCACAAGGTCTAGCTCCAACCAGGAAGTGCATCTCGGGTTTCCGTGGTCACCGTGAGAAGGGTTCGCCGTTTGTTTCCTGCTGCAGAGAGAGAAGAGCGGCGTCGAGACTGACAGGGAAGACAGAACATCACCTCCTTCAATATTTAATGCATAAAATGAAACTGTTATCAGCACCTTCCTCTCTCGATATCCGCTTGGTCACTGTTATACTACTGGTGAGCATCTTCATTTTAAACCCTACACTGTTAGGCTGCACTTACATCGAGCTAGCTAGTAGCTGATAATAGCTGTTAGGTAACCGATGGAGGTGACTTAAAACAAGCAGACGTGATTTTAAGCCATATAAATGTGCCTTAATGTGGATCTACTGATAAGTTTTCTGTGGGCGGTTGTAAATATCCAATTAGCATTAAGCTAACATGATCTTAACTGTCTAATCCTAATTGTAAAGTAGCTGCTAATTGCCAGTATTGTTCTCTAAAGCCTTTTGTTTGCCTCCTGCATTTACTCGGGCGTAACATTTGTTCTTTCGCTTCCGCACAAAGTTATATTTGTACTCTTCGTGTGTCTCTGAATTTTGCTAGCCGGTTGGTGAATTCCTCTGTTGTGGCTCATTCCTATTGGCTGACAACCCGGAACTAGACAGAGCGCAGTTTGGCCTAAAATAAAACTTCACTCTTAGGATGCATTGCAATATTTTTACTTAATTTTGACCCATTTAGTCACTGAATTTGTTTATTTATTTCATTTTTTAATTTAGTCTACATTTGTGTCACTTATGCTGTAAGGTGGGAAATGATTGTTTTGTCAACTTTTGTTGTAAAAGAATGAACTTTCTAAATGACTGGCTTCTTTTAATTATTTAGTCATTTTATGTTTTCATGAATTATTTTAAATTAAAATTTTTGCTTTGGACTTTTTATTGAGCAAAAGCAATGTCATGTTATAACGTAATAACTTTACAACTCCATCCATCCACTATCTTTTACCTGCTTCGTACTTTCACGGTCACTGGTGCCCTTATCCTGTCACTGCAAGGGGCAGGGCACACCCTGGACAGGTCACAAATCTGTCACTGCGCTAACTTTAAGTCTTTAACAAAAAAAAACAAAAAAACAAGTTAAAACATAATAAATGCATAATATGTTCACTTATAACTCAACTATGGAAAAAGCAGCAATTGATAAAACACTCCTCCAGTGCCACGTTTTACATGTGTGTGGTTCTCTTTATATCCTGTCTAAGGGGATATTGAGTCATCATAAATGTTGACAGATAAATAGATACCGGAGGAGGCGTTTTAACACTTTGCGATGCAGAACTTTTGAGTGAAATGACTTCTTTACATCCTTGTTTTGTAGAAAAATGTTACTGCACTTGTAGAATCAAGAAACAGGTTGTTAAATAAAAATAGTGCAACTGTATTTATTCTTTCATGTCATTTAAGATAAAAATAGACCTTATCTTGAACTTTCATCTTTGTTTGTAATTGGCAGGCCTCTCTATCAGTGATGTTTTCGCTCCAATTCGCTCTCCAGTAATTGTCATTACGGCTTGGTGTTTTTTTTTCACCCCGTGCTACAATCAGAGCAGCCATTTTTACATCATTATTATATAATGATCTTCTTCAAAAGCTAAAGTTAAAATATAACTGAGCTTTCCAATAATGTCTGCAAGTTAAAGTTTACCACATGATGAGCCTAACATTTTAGTTGGTAAAATTAGCTGATTAAGTTCAGCAACTGTAATGTGATCTTGTGACCATTGTGATATTTGTATTATTGTAGATTTTATAATGTTAATTGTATGTTTTTCCCTGACACAAATGCAGTTTTAACTTTTATTCGACTCCCACTATCTTCGTATCGTAATAAACAATGTCTGAAAATGTTTGACAAAAACGAGAAGGATCATCATTTGGATTTTGGATGTTATCTATAAGACTGGTGGCATTTACTTGATTACATCCTTTGACAGTGGGATAATGCCTTCATTAAGTGCAAACAAAAATGAGGCTTTGGGATTCCGTTGTCTTTTAGTTGTTGAAGGAGCCTGCATACCTCCAAACCTGCTCCTCTGGTTTTGAGACGTCAAGCTTGCAGAAATAATGTGATATTTATCTTATTCTTTGTTCTATCTGTTGTTTAGTCTGTTAGTGTTACAGTTAAAGGGCCTGTGACATCCATTTTTTCGTAATAAACATGAATGCATTTTTGGAAAGAGAACATTGATAAAATATTGCAAAACAAATTTCACGCCACTGAGATGAACAGTTGTTGAGATATTTGCATGTGAAGAAACAGGAAGTGATGTCAAAGGGGAATTTCTGCATGTGAACAGTGTGTTTCTACAACGCCTAACAACACAGACTGTAGAGAAGAATCTGATGTTTCTTTAGATGATTTTGAGTTTCTATCAAAGAGAGACAAAGAAGAGTTAAAATTTAAATAATTTTGTTTTAATAAACAGAGACCAGAGAGTTTATTTTATTAAAGAGTTCCCCTTTGATGTCACTTCCTGTTTCACTTTAGTTGAGCCAAATCCAAAAGAAAATAGGCCAGTTATGTGACAAAATGTGTAAAATCATGTGTATCATGCCAATTTTCTTAAGAATAAAGATGTTTTCTTTGACTTTTTGAAGGATAGACATGTCATAAGTACTTTAAAATGTGTACCATGAGGTAGTTACTGAAATGTTTTAAGTTGAAAAAAAAATCTTGTGTTGTCATGACTGATTTTTCTGTTTTGTTTTTTTTCTTCTTCCATGGGAATGCAAAACCACTGGTTACGTTGGTCTTTTAACACACTGTTGTTTTTCCACTCTGTGTTCAGGATATTCTAGACTGATGAGATTAAGTTGGTGTCGTGGCCTGAACAGTATGACGTTTGGTTAATTTTTTTTCCTAAGCCTGGTGTTGAGCTGACATCTGCATGTTTGTTTTAGCTGCTAATCGTTTTGGTGGGCGTGTGTCTGCAGGTGATGGGCCTCTCTACTCCAGGACAAGCAGAAATCATCAGTCTGGACTCTGGCAACATTGATGATGTCCTAAGTATGAGATCATAATTTATTCTTTAGAAGTAACCAAAGATGATTAGCACTGTTTTCTAATCTCTACGTTATTGTAATAAACGGTTAGTTTGGGAATTAAAATGATGAATCAGTTTATTTTCCTCTCATCTGATCAGGATGTCAAATATTACAATTTCAATCTGCTTTAAGTGTTTCTGTGAATATTTTGGAAACACATCCTGACTTATATATCGTATATATTTTATATTTAACCATCATGACTGAACTGTTGGATTAACTATTACAATTAAACTTGGAATTCAATTAAACAAAAACTCTGAATTTATCTATTTTTTTACTTCATATTCATTCATAAGTACTTGTTTTTTATATTATCATATACATATTATCATATAAAAATATTAAAGAGGTTTCCTGATTGTGTGTTTTCTTCCAGATAATGCTGGTGTGGCATTAGTGAATTTTTATGCTGACTGGTAGGTGTGCTTTTCTTAAAACAGTTTTTCTTTTGATTTAATCTTTTCTTGCACATCAGATGGTGTCAAACGTTATTTGATCATGTACTTTTACTGCCCCGTTGATGTCTAAATGCTGAACAAACAGATAAAACTGGTTGCAGAACAAAATTACTTCTGTCGTCTGATTCAAAAAATACAGATTCTGTCCCAGTTGAGTTAAAGGGATCCACGATTATCCTTTAATAAAATGTGTCTTTTTATTATTTGCTATCTGTGTATGTCCTGAGTCATTTCTTGTTGTGAAAATTGTCCAGGTGTAGATTCAGTCAAATGCTCCATCCGATTTTTGAGGAGGCCTCAAACATCGTGAGAGAGCAGTTCCCAGATACCAAACAGGTGGTGTTTGCTCGTGTCGACTGCGACCAACACGGTGAGTCTGACTTTCTTCTCAGTATTTGGTGTTTTATCCAACATTAATGAGTCGTTTATTACAAAGCTTCTAGTCATATCTTCAATCAAGGACATAAAGTTTTCGGCAATGTTGCTTTGAAACATTATTTGTCTAGGCCAGGATTGTTCAACATAGATTTTTTTCTACAGAAAAAATTAATTTTAGTTTTTAAAAGTGTCATATTTTTTTTAGTAAGGTGTAAAAATGTAAACACTGCAATTTTAATTTTATTTTTTTTTTATTTTGGTCCTATAGTGGGGTTGATCTTCACTATAAGCTTTTGTTGGCCATATTTCCTACCTCAGACTTGACATTTAAAAAGTTCAAACTTTTCCAAAAGCACCTTTACCACCTGCCACTAAAGATTTGAGTCACTGTGTATTTGTGCTGTGTTAGCAAAATATCTTTTTTTACATTATTATTAAATATTCATTTCATTTAAAAAACATATTTACATACAACAAAACTATACAAATAAAATAAAATGAAAGGTAGCCGAACAAGAAAAATCTTATATCTGCCCCTATTTGCAAAAGATAATTAATTTTAAACAATAGTAATCAAATAATAAAACTAAACAAAAAAATCAACTCCTCAAACAGCAACTCTTACAAATACAAATTATACAATTTCATTTTTCTTTAACAATTTAACTTTTGTATTCATACCATATCTCAAAAACTATTAGACAAACTACAAAACTTTCATAAAATAATCATTGGACGTACGGCTCCAACTGATTATTGTTTGGAGTCAGTTTTGGTCAAGATCACTGCAAAACATAATTGGCTAGAACTTGGTCAGTTTTGCAAATATTGAGCTTAAATCTGGTGTGGTAGTAACTGAGACTCTTCCTCAAATTATACTTTGAGTTTTAGCATAATTTCACAAGCTCTCGCTGTACTGCATGAGATTGTGTGAAACGTTATTTACGTTATGATCTATAAAGCTCATTGCTCAGCATGAGAATTGCTTCTTCTTCTGGTTGTTCCCCTTCCAGGAACACAGTGAGTCATCCTCAGTCCAACTACCTCCATGTCCTCTAACTGTGTCCGTATATCTGCTCTTTGTCTTTACCCTGGCAGCTGCATCTCTAACATCCTTCTACCAATAATACCCACTGTCCCTCCTTTGGACATTTACAAACTAGAGACACTCAATATTGACTTTTTGCCAATATTCGGTATGCCGATATTATTCAACACTTAATTTCCGATTCCGTGATGCTATCACCATATTTATGTATTAGCTCAGAGCTACACATTCCACATGACAGAGAGGAGAACACAAAAATGACTCAGCTGTAACTGAAAATATGGATGGAGGATCTCAGTTTAGCTTCTTTGTCGTGCTAGCGCTGAYCTAATACATATAAGGCAATATAGCGTCGAAGCTAGCGTAAAGGCTAACAGGCTAAGCTGAGGTTCTTCTTCCATGAAGCAGCTCTGTTGTCCTCCATCCATATTTTCAGTTCCAGGCTGAGTCATTTCTACCTTCTCCTCTCTGTCAACGCTCTCTGGTTTCATTTAAAAGAGTCGATCATCAGATATATTTCCAAGATTAACCTTCAGGGTGGATATAGCTCGCTAACAGCCTCGCACCGAGGACCTATCCACGTCATCATTTACCCAGAATGCTTTGTGTGTAAATAAAATGGCTCCGTGTTAAAATATATTTTTAAAAATTTACAAAACTAAACAGCCTACAGTATTTTTACAGTCTTTATTTTACAGTAAAAATATATGTTTATCAAATAAAGTCTAATGTTTCAACTAATCAGGGATCCCTTTAACAGTGGAGCTGTGAAAAGCAAAGACGCCAGTCACAATTAGAGGACGAGTTTAAGCTGAAAAACACGACGACAGTTGAATCAGTGAAAGAGCCGACCTCAGCTTCAGAACGTAGTAAAGATGCGAGAAATCTGTTTATTTTTATGCTAGAAGTTGCTGTCTTCTATATACAAAGAAGAAAAGTGCACGTCTACACACGTTCTGCATTTGATGCACACGTGCACACAAAGATGTCTGACACACCAAAAGCGTGCACCAGCCACAGCCTTTTGAGATAAAGCAAATTAAAGAGAATTATTGATGACCTGCAAACTGTTTGAAGACTAATGACAAAACTGCTGCTTCCTGTGAAGGCTGGAGGCTTAGAGACACCCCGCAGGGAGATTGACACCTGCCACACACACACACACACACACACACACACACACACACACACACTAAGATCCACTGTGTGCAGTGAGAATATTTACTCTTGGCGGGGGTGCTGCTTTCATGTGTGAGATCAGAGCTGGGCGCTGACTGAGGGCAGAGTGTTTTCAGACTCGGGGTTTAACTTCCCCACGTGTTTCTGCTCGTCTTCTTCTCGCTCTTCATCAATTGATTCGGCTCTCTTTGCTTAACTCCGCCTCCGCGTGCAGCCGACATAGCGCAGCGCTACCGCATCACCAAGTATCCGACGCTGAAGTTGTTCCGCAACGGGATGATGATGAAGAGGGAGTACAGGGGTCAGAGGTCGGTGACGGCCATCGCGGACTTCATCCGCCAGCAGCAGGTGGACCCAGTGAAAGAGCTACACTCCATGGAGGAGGTTAACACTTTGGATGTAAGTGGCGAGTACACACATTCTGTCCAACAACACACACGTGTACCTCAAAGAATAAATCAAACCCTTGTTTTACATTAACAGAGGAGCAAGAGAAACATCATTGGATACTTTGAAACAAAGGACTCTGATAATTATCACACGTATGAAAAAGTTGCCAACATCCTCCGAGATGACTGCACCTTCTCCGCTGCGTTTGGGTGAGGCACATCCTCGAGTTTACGCCCCCGCAGAGTCAACAGTGTTGGTCTTTTTATTTATGTTTATGTTGTTGACCTTTACCCTCGCAGTGCTGTATCAGCGTCTGAGCGCTTTAGTGGAGACAATGTAATCTACAAACCTGTGGGCGAGAGCGTCTCTGACATGGTCTACCTCGGCTCGCTCACCAACTTCGACCTGACGTACACTTGGGCTCAGGACAAGTGTGTGCCTCTAGTTAGAGAGATCACCTTTGAAAACGGAGAGGTTTGTTTATTTTTTTTTATCCCCATTATTACTGCACCATACTATAAATACTTGTTTTTCACTTCGGATCAAACTATAGATGCATGTTTGGATCTACCTTACACCAGTGAGGGGCAACTTAAATGATGGAAAGGGCAACGATTTTTAGTTGATAGAGGGCTACATAGTGCTGGACACTTACCAATTAGTTCCACTTGCTCTAAAACACTAACTCTAATATTTAGGTCCCCTAATTCTAAAACACTAATGCACTGACAGTTTTAGCAAAAGCTAATTCTAAAGCACTAAAATAACCCAGTCAACTCATGAACGTTCTTCAACAGACAACATGAGTCAAATGTTTCTCCCTTAAGACTTATCATTGACATCCCACACCTGTATTTGGTTCATATATTGTTCATATATTGTCACCTGGTGGATCAGTGACACATTATGAACAAAATGTTAACAGTTTTCACCCTCAGCTGTTAACATTAATGTTTATAAATAACATTTATAGACCTCAGTTAGTGCTTCTAAATTTAGCCTATAAATTTAGCAAGTGCTAATCCACTAATAAATTTTAAAATTAGCAAAAGCCCTAAAGCACTAATCCGGTAATTAGTTCCCCTATTAGTGCTTTAGTGTTTTAGGGGAACTATGCCCACCACTGCATATATACAGTATATACAGTATACACAT